CACAATCATTGCATGCCACAAAGCTTGGGCAAGTTTTGACGTGCAGCCGCACCGAGATGGCATGCCAGAAAAAGAAAAAGCCGGGAACGCGCACACGTTCACTGCGAGCCTCTTTGTCCAGGTGGTGGACGAACTGCTGCACTTCGAGGATGGTCGGGCCAAGAACCGTTTGCATCTGCCAATGCATTGTGGCATCCATGTAGCTGGCTGAGAATACAAGCTCCACAATGTCACCAATCCGCTCGCATTGTCGCGGCGTGTCCATCTGCAGCGGCCACCTGGCGCGCAGCGTTTTCATGCACCACAAGTACGCACGACGCTGCCTACGATGCGGGTTGCCCCTCAGCACGCGCTTAGCAACGAAACCATTCAACAACCACCATAACGCATACACGAAATTCCAAAGATCCGTATAATACCAACCAGTCCCGCTTTCAATGGCAACTGCCCCTTGGTAGCTCATTCACTTTAAAAGGACCTTGTCCATGTGGATCAGACTGATGGCGATGAGCACGCACGTGTCTCTAAACGCACGGGCCCCCACGGAGGACAACAGCATACCGCGTAGCTCCACCAGGTGATTGGCAAAAAATGCTTTGCGATCGCACAAGTGAACTACTAGGCACCTTTTGGGAGACCACGCCGAGCTTGCGCGCGCGGCAGGCACGGTGCTTCGAGCCCCCGCTGCGTCGCCGGCCCAGGCGCGGAAGCACACGGCGAGTAACACTGTGCTATCTGGCTGCACTGGCGGGGCCGCCACCGCCATGGCCACCGCGACGTTGCCCACGCAACAAAATACTCCTGTCAAAATGGCTATGCAGTCCTCCTCTGCTTCCCCTTTTCTTGAGAACATCCACAACATACACGTCGCTCAGTGGCACTATAGGTGCTCGCAGTAGGAGGAAGGGTGGGGCGACAGACGGACGTAGGTAGTAAGTAGATATATCTGCGCATATATATATGTATATATATATATATATTTCTTCCGCGCTCACCGACCCCCCTCCACCTCCACCTCCATTTTGACCCCCCCCTTCCAGGTCTGTATAGACGAAACCCTTTTCAGAACGCTGGCCAAGCATGTCTCGCCATAATCTGCTCCGAGTAGCGTTTCCCATTTTTAAAAATGTATGTATATATATGCTTATATGAGAGGAGAGAGAGAGAGAGAGAGAGAGAGAGAGAGAGAGAGAGAGAGAGAGAGAGAGAGAGAGAGAAAAAAAGAGAGAGGGAGAGAAAAAAAAAAAAAAAAAAAAAAAAAAAAAAAAAAAAAAAAAAAAAAAAAAAAAAAAAAAAAAAAAAAAAAAAAAAACTGCACGTCACTCACTCCTGCTCCTTCTGTTAACCGCCCCCTCACCTCCCTTCGCCCTGTCTGTTGCAGAGCTTCACTCGCTCGTGATTGCAACACGGCGAGCTCCACTCACTCGCGCTTGCGCCTGCACGCGACTGAACCTCGCCGCCGCGCGCTGGCAAAATTCGACGCCCCGCCTGCGCGTGCAGGACGGCTCAGCGCCTTCAAAAAGGTCTCAAAAGAAGCATTTGAGGGGGGGCGCCCCTTTGCACATACACACTTACGTTTATGTGTACCTCTTTCTATTACGCGTCGCACTACAGGGTCTCGTAACTATCAGGAGTTACGGGGGGACGCCCGGCGCCAACCCGGACCGAAAAGGCGCGGGTCTCCCAGCGCAATCATGGCGTAGATTGCGAAAAACCGCTGCCGTCTACATTAAAGCCAAAGCGACTGGTTAAAAAAACCGAACGAAATCGCGGGCGCCTGGATGCCCGAGGACCCTGGATGCCCGAGGATCCGCTGCTGCACAACGGAACGCGACCATGCTCGCACCTCGGCGCCGCCCGCATGGAGAACGACACTCGCCAGCCCAAGCCGCAAGGAACGACTATCCTGACGCGCCCGAGAAGGCGTTCATTGTTTGTGTGATTCGTGACCTGTCCGAAGCTTCCAACGAGCCTCTGGGGCTGAAACCGTCCAGAAGGTACCCCCAGTGAGCTGGGGGGAAAAACCGCGCGTGGTTTTTGTTGAACACATCGCGGCATCTGAAGGGGACGCCCCTACTTATCTGATACATTCACATACCTATACGACCACCCTTCGGGCGATAAGGAGGTGAGGGGGGTGGGGGGGAGGGACCAACGTCGCACTCGATCGATCTCACTCTCGATATCACTATCGATCTCACAATCGATCTCACATTCGGTCTCACTATCGATCTCACGAAGGATCTCCCATTCGGTCTTACTATCGATTCCCCTATCGATCTCACATTCGGTCTCACTATCGATCTCACTATCGATCTCACGATCGATCTCACAATCGATCTCACATTCGGTCTCACTATCGATCTCACTATCGATCTAACTATCGATCTCACAATCGATCTCACATTCGGTCTCACTGTCGACCTCACTATCGATATCACAATCGGTCTCACAATCGATCTCACAATCGGTCTCACTATCGATTTCACTATCGATCTCACATGCGGTCTCACTATCGATCTCACTATCGATATCTCTATCGATCTCACCATCGATCTCACATTCGGTCTCACTATCGATCTCATTATCGATATCACTATCGATCTCACTATCGATCTCACATTCGGTCTCACTATCGATCTCATTATCGATATCACAATCGATCTCACAATCGACCTCACTATCGATCTCACTATCGATCTCACAATCAATCTCACTTTCGGTCTCACTATCGATTACACTGTCGAAATCACAATTGATCTCACAATCGATCTCACATTCGGTCTCACTATCGATATCACATTCGGTCTCTCTATCGTTACCATCATCACCATCAACATCATCAGCACCATCATCATCATCATCATCATCATCATCATCATCATCAACATGGTCATCATCGGGACACCGACGGGACACCGACGGGACACCGGCGGGACACCGGCGGGACACCGCGCGCCACCGGCCGCCCGTGGAGAATCATTTGGTCCGGCCGCGCCTCAGCCACAGAGGACACCACCGGGACACCGGCGGGACACCGCGCGCCACCGGCCGCCCGGTGGAGAATCATTTGGTCCGGCCGCGCCTCAGCCACAGGAGACTTTCCTCTCGCCCGCCCACGCAGCTTCGCCTCGCCCGCACGCACGGCACGCACAAACACGAAACCGAAACCGATTTCCCGGTAGGGGGGCTCTCCGTTCCACTTCGATCTCACCCCCTCACCTCCGATCTATACATATATACCTATACGACCACCCTTCGGGTGATAAGGAGGTGAGGGGGGAGGAGGGACCAACGTCGCACTCGATCGATGCACTCTCGATATCACTATCGATCTCTCTATCGATCTCACATTCGGTCTCACTATCGATCTGACTATCGATCTCACTATCGACCTCACTATCGATTCCCCTATCGATCTCACATTCGGTCTCACTATCGATCTCACTATCGATCTCACTATCGATGTCACTATCGATCTCACATTCGGTCTCACATTCGGTCTCACTATCGATCTCACTATCGATCTCATTATCGATCTCACATTCGGTCTCACATTCGGTCTCACTATCGATCTCACTATCGATATCACAATCGATCTCACAATCGATCTCACAATCGGTCTCACTATCGATTTCACTATCGATCTCACATTCGGTCTCACGATCGATCTCACTATCGATATCACGATCGATCTCACCATCGATCTCACATTCGGTCTCACCATCGATCTCACTATCGATCTCACTATCGACCTCACTATCGATGTCACATTCGGTCTCACTATCGATCTCATTATCGATATCACAACCGATCTCACAATCGATCTCACTATCGATCTCACAATCGATCTCACAATCAATCTCACTTTCGGTCTCACTATCGATTTCACTATCGGTATCACAATCGATCTCACAATCGATCTCACATTCGGTCTCACTATCGATATCACATTCGGTCTCTCTATCGATAACATCATCACCATCATCATCGTCAGCACCATCATCATCACCATCATCATCATCCTCATCATCATCAACATGGTCATCATCATCATCATCGGGACACCGACGGGACACCGACGGGACACCGGCAAGACACCGGCGGGACACCGCGCGCCACTGGCCGCCCGGTGGAGAATCACTTGGTCCGGCCGCGCCTCAGCCACAGAGGACACCACCGGGACACCGGCGGGACACCGCGCGCCACCGGCCGCCCGGTGGAGAATCATTTGGTCCGGCCGCGCCTCAGCCACAGGAGACTTTCCTCTCGCCCGCCCACGCAGCTTCGCCTCGCCCGCACGCACGGCACGCACGAACACGAAACCGAAATCGATTTCCCGGTAGGGGGGCTCTCCGTTCCACTTCGATCTCACCCCCTCACCTCCGATATATATATATATATATATAAAAATATATATATATATATATATATATATATATATATTATGCAAGGCCCCCAAGACGCACGACCAGAGATGGCGGCGCTGGCGGAGCCAGTAGGATTGCACTACAAATCATTGTCACAGCTTTTGCAGCATCGTTCGGCCGAGAGCCGAATCAAATCCAATCTGTATGCCAACGAAAGCAATGTCTATCAAACAGTCGTGCACGAAACAAAACTGCAAACAGACTGCACCCAGGTGGCGGTGGGCGAAGGCGGACGGTGCCGAAAAACTTGAGCACAAGTATTCAGACGGTCGTGCTCAGAAGAGGCGAGGCACAATTAACTTCAAAGAACGACATTATGCAAGGGCCCCAAGACGCACGACCAGAGATGGCGGCGCTGGCGGAAGCCAGTAGGATTGCACAACAAATCATTGTCACAGTTTTTGCAGCATCGTTCGGCCGAGAGCCGAATCAAATCCAATCTGTATGCCAACGAAAGTAATGTCTATCAATCAGTCGTGCACGAAACAAAACTGCAAACAGACTGCACCCACATTTTTCCCATATTGGGAGCTGGTGAGGCCTCAGGGTAACTAGGGGACAACTTTGGGCTCACCTTGTCACGCTGCGGCCAAAGTCGAAAGACGCCTTGGCGGCGAGTCTCTCACCGACGAGGCTGGTGGCCGACAACTGAGCACTGGAGAACTTGGCGAGCTGTCGGGTCAAACGGCCAGCCTTCTCATACCGACTCACGCTCGCGGCGCACTTCCAGCGGCCGTGGCGCTGCACCTCCGCGGGTGAGCGGTCCTGCAGGGCGTAGTCGACCGATGCGCCGCCGTGCCGCAGGGCGTGGGGACCGAGGCGCAACCTCTGCAGCCCGGCCGCGTCCCCCGCCTGCCGAAGGGCGGCCTGGAACTCACGGGCCGTGAACGGGAAGAGCGGCCAGGTGGCTGGCTTGGCCCTCTTGAGGTCTCGGATGAGCCTGGCCACCCAGCGCCGTAGGGCGGCCGCTGCCGCGCTGCCGCCGGCGATAACCGCGTCGTCGGACTCGCCGGACTTCGTCGTCGCGGACGGCGGGCAGTCTGGCGGCGCCGCGAGCATCAGGGAGATCGAGACCTGGGGGCAGGCCGACGTCGCGGAGTGCTGGAGGCACGTGACGTCGCAGGCCTTCACGCTGAGCAGCACCGGGAGCCGAAGGTAGCCGTCGAAGGCCCCTGCCACGGCAACCCCCACAAGCCGCTGGCGCGGACACGAGGAGCCGAGGTACTGATCGACCATCAGCAGCGCCGCCTCCCAGGGGCACGGGCCCCGCTGCTCCCCAGGCGCCGCCCTGGAGAAGCCCCTGAGCGTCAGGCGGGCCTGCGGGAACTCGGACGCGCCTCTGAGGTCGATCCTCTCCTCGAACGCGTAGCCGCCCCCCGCCACGAAGATGCCCTGCAGGTAGCCCACCATGAGCTGGTCCCTCTGCGCGGCCGTGGTCTGCGGGTAGTGATGCCTCTCCGCGAAGCGCCTCACCTCCGCGGCCGCGCGGCCGTAGTGCTGCTGCGTCAGCGGCTTCACCCGGCGGCGCGCCAGGAAGTCGCTGCGGGCCACCTCGCTGTGGGCGACCCTCTGCTGCCCGATGGCGCGGCGAGGGCGCCTCGGCCGCGAGCTGCCCGGCGCCGCCGCTGAAGCCGACCTGGCTGAACCGGCGGCGCCGGTCGCGCTCGGCGGCACGCGCCTGCGCGATGCTGCTGCCCCAGTCGAGCTGGCCCGGCTGCCACTCCCGGTGGCCTGCGGGCGGGCAGACAGGATCGGGCGTGGGCGCCCAGGCGCGGCAGCCGGCGGCGGCAGCCAGGCGAGCCCCCCCTCGGCATTCAGGCCGAGCACCATTCAGACAGGCAGCTCCGGGCGCGCATGATCGTAGAATGCTAGCCCACTTGCGGGCCAAAGCCTCCGGATAACGTCCAGCGAGCGTGGTCTTCCAGGCGGAGCCCCTTCCAGGACCCAGACGGACCTTGCCTGCGAGGACCTCGTGAACATGATCTCGAGAACAACTAGCACTTAGGGCCTGGAGGGGCCTTAGGTTGGTGACGAGGGTAGTGGGCTTCAGGTAGCGGCAATTGTATTGACAGTACTGCACGTTGACGAAATAATGACAATGACGTTCCAGGAAGGCTGTGACCTCTGAGCGCTGCCAAAGACGTGACGATGAAGGATTCTCGAGCGACCACTTTACGCCAAATCGATCACATAAGCGAAGCAAGTCGACGGTGAACGAGACAGCGCCAGCACCGGAGGCCAAATGCTTGGCCTGGGCCTGCGCGGGCGTGGCCTGGCTGAAGGGCGCGCACGGGGTGCCGAGGTGGACGTACCACACCTCCCGCCGCACTATCAGAGAACGGATCACACGCATCACGTTCCTGTCGGTCAGGTCGTGCCACGCGCCTCTGGAAATGTCGACGGGGACCCAGCACCGAAGGCCCTCATCCAGGCAGGCCGCTGTGAGGCGGGCGCAGCCAGCGTAGAGCTCGAGGACGTGCCGCCGCTCTGGAATCGTGGTCGGTGGGGTTCCGCTTGCTCTCGGAGTAGCGATGGTAGCGCTGGATCCCCGTGGCGAGCTGTCGGGCTGCGGACTGGCAGGCCAGCTGGCGCAAGACTGGGTTGGCACACCTGCCCTTCTCGAACGCCATCATGGATGAGAGATTGTCCCCTATGGAGAGGACGCGGCACCCGTGAGCGGCCACCGACCGAGTGGCGCGCCTGAGCCCCAGGAGGGTCGTCCGGCCCTCCAGCACGTGGATCGGGGCTGGGAAGAGGAAGGCGCCACGCACGACGAGCTGCCACCGGTGAGCCGCGAGCGCCGAGTCCGGCAGCGCCGGGACGGCGCTGCCGCCGGCAGCGGCGGCCGCTGCCTCAACCTCGATCCTGGCCGGGCGGCGTCGCCGCGGGGCCCCTCGCCCCGGCGGCGGCTGCCCCATGCCAGCGATGAGGCTGTCGTCGGCAGCGCCCGCGGCGAAGCCGGCCTGCACGGCGACTTCAAAGCCAGGAGGGCCCCCAGGGTCGTCAGCGTAGCGATCAACGGCCAGGAAACGCCAGCGCTCGCGGCATGCGCCGATGTCCATCAGCTCGTCTGGGTCAAATCGGGACGTGGCAACGGCGTAGCCCCAAAGACTGGCGTCCGAGCAGTAGGCCCAGGGATGCGAAGGCGCCCCGAGATCGACGCCGGCTAGCGGGATCAGGGCCTTAACGAGGTTGAGCTCGCGCAGTTGCTCGACGTCGAACCTGCAGTAGTCGTGAAGAGTACACGATTCGATACAGCGAGCTCAGGACTGACAGAGCGGGCCTCAGGAGCATGAAGTGGTGCACGATATGGCCCATCAGAACCTCCATAGCCCCCGGCGTGCAGCCGCCGCGATCCAACAGGGCCGTCCCCGCCCGATGGAGTCGCCAGCCACGCTCGCGCTGCGGGACGGCCCGACCCGCTGTGAAATCGAACCGAACACCGCAGCACACGAAGTCCTGTGTCCCGTAGCAGACCTCGTGATAGGAGAGCCCCCGCCGCTCAAACTCGCACAGGATGCCCTCGAGCGCCGCGTTGACCAGACTGCGAGGCGAGCCCACGACGTTGGCGTTGTCGACATACGAGGAGCCAGCCAGCTGGCCTGGGGCGAGCCGCGCGCTGGGGGCGCGCTCGGAGACCATCCTGACGCTGTCGGGCGAGACGCCCAAAGCCCGACTGATGCCGATGCGAGTGACGTCCTCGGTGATGCCGTTGCAGATGTGGAGCGACCATCTCCAGCCCACGGCGAGCCCCTGGAAGCACGGGTACACGATGGTGTCAGGCTCCACCTGTATGTAGGTCTGGTTCACCTCGTCGCAGACGCAGTCAGTGTCAAAGTTGCGAATGGCCATCGGGAAGTCGAAGCAGAACCAGCTGCCGATCTCGAGCCACTGCATCTGGTAGAAGCCCTGGCGAAGGTCCGAACTGGCCCCGTGGTAGCCATCGTCGCTGGCGCACAGCCGGCCCGAGTCGAGGCAGAGGCCGCTGAGGGCCCCGGCGGAACCCAGCTCGGTCCGCGGAGGGCGACGGTGCAAGCTCGAGGGCTCGCGGCCGTCGATGACCATGCGCAGCGAACCGTCCTTCTTGCCGACGAAAAAGATGCTGGCACGGGCGCGGCATCGCGCACGCACTCCGACGAGGCCGATGCGCATGAGCTTCTTAAACAAGTCGAGCCGCAGGGCAAGGGCTCCGCCGCAGGTTGACGTCCCAGAAGGGGTAGACGGGCGGTAGCTCACCTGACTCGACCATGCCATCCAGCACCGACTGGGAGCGGAAGATGAACTTCTCGGGCTCGTTGATGAGCGGGAGCATAGAGGCGGGCACCAGCGAGCGGATGGGCAACGGGCGGATGCCGCTGTCGAGAATCTTCAAGAGGTGCGGCTCACACGGCCGAACTGGCGTCGGCCTGCCGCTGCAAACGCCCATGGACTTCAAAATGGAGAGAAGCGCCTCATCACCGTCCATGCCGAGCGGGTCGCCGAAAGCGTCCACTCGCTGATGAATGCGCTGGAGGATCGATGCTTGGGCGGCGTTCGCAGGAAGGACCGAAGCGAGACGCCGCGCCGCCGCCAGCGGTGCGCCCAGGTCGTTCAATGCCATGATCGCCTGGTTGCACCGCCGCCGCACGCCGCACGAGAGCCCGAGTGGCAGCACCCCCGCCGGCGTCGATCTGCCCAGGAGCGGCAGAGGGAAAGGGTCGCCGTGAGCGCGACCAGTCAAAAAGCGCGGAGCCCCCTCGGCAGCAGGGCCTCGCGCGCGGCCCCCTGAGAAGCGGACTGCGGAAGGAACATAGGCCGAGCGACGCCGGGGCGAGCGCCGCCTCTCCGCAGCCCGCGCGACAGGAGTCATGCCTCCGCGGCGGCCGAGCCGTCGGCTCGACCGCCGCGTCCCCGTCCGCCGCCACGTCCACGCCCGCGGCCACGGCCGCGGCCACTGCCTCCGCCGTCTCCGTCGTCACCGCCGGCACCGCCGTCCTCCCACCCGCCAGAGCCTCGGCCGCGGCTGTGAGATACCTGCTCCTCACGCCACTGCCGCTGCTGCTTCAACGTGAAGGCCTCGTCCTTCTGGATCTGCGCGATGTACTTCGAGTACTCGGGAAGGACGAGGCCGCCAAACTCGTTGGCCGTCGAAGCGACCACCGCGTTGAGGTCCTGGAAGTCAGGGCTCCGGGGGTCGCGGGCGACCGCCAACTCGATCTGGACGAGGTAGCGCACCAGGACCTCGACCCCCGCGAGGGTGGGCAAGTTGAGCATGTCCTGTTGCTGGGAGGCGCGCAGGGCGTCGGTGAGGCGCTGGTGGCAGCGCGCGGCGTTGCTGTTCGAGGAGACGCCCGACTTGTGGACGAAGTCCAGGTGGTGAGTGACCCACTCCATGCCAGTAGCCCGCAGCGTGCGCATATATTCGTGCGCGACCCTCTGGCCTCCCGAGAGGAAGTGCCGCTCGGGCGCGGCATGCTGTAAGCCCAGCGACTCGACAAAAGAGATGAATCGCTGGCCGCTGACCGGGCCCCTCACGCCACCTGTGATCCGTGCGTCTCTCTTGCGGCCCGACACGAGGGCGCGCTCCCAGGACTCCCTGACGGAGTCGGAGACGAGCTGGCAAAAGGTCCAGCAGTTGTCGATCAGCACCAAACCGCAGAGGTAGTCCTCGTCGCCATGAGCATCTGGCGCGATGAGGGAGGCGGGGTCCGAGATGATCTGATTCGACACCTCGTCCCCGAAGCTGCGAGCCGAGGGGAAGACGTAGTTCTCGTTCCACTGGGCGGCGGGGAAGGCGCAAATGCGCCCGAGCGCCACCACGCGGCGCGCGTTCAAGTTGAGCCTCTGGACCGAGTAGTCGGGAGTGCTGGCGATCCACGCGCCCGCGGTGGGGGTCTGGACCGGGGGCGGCCTGCGACGCCACCTCCGCCCCGCTGCGTCGTCGGGAAAGACCGCCAGCACCTGCGGCTCGGGCAGGTCGAGAGTGACGTGCGCCATGGCGCCGCCACACCCGCCGGGCGCGCTGGCTCGGGGCCACGGGCCCCGGGGCGGACGGCGCGGCGGCCAGCGGCGGCGCCAGCGGCTTCGGCTCGGGCCGCACGAGGATGACCGGAGACGCCCACTGGCCCACGGCCCACGTCAGCACGGCCCCCAGCGCGGCGGCCAGCCCCAGCGCCAGCCACCGGCCCGCCCGCGGGCTGGCGCTCGTCGAAGGACTCGGCGAGGCTGGACGCCGGCCCGCTGCACGTCAGCGCGCAGGCGATGGCCACGGCGGGCAGGCCGCGCAGGCGGGCCCACGCAGCAGCCAGAGCTCGGCGGGGCGCGCGCCAACTCCGACCAAATCCACGAGAGCGGGTATGCGCGAACGTGGCTCCTGCCGAAAAACTTGAGCACAAGTTTTCAGACGGTCGTGCTCAAAAGAGGCGACGCACAAATAACTTCAAAGAACGACATATATATATTATATGTGAATGTACATCTACCTATATTCCTGTATACATGTATAAACATGTACATACATAGTGTATATACATATATACATACATACGTATAATTCAACCTAAACGCTGCATACATATTTCTAAATATATTCCTGCTCTGCGGGGGGACGCCCCTGTATCAAGTGGGTGTACATATGTACACGCCCTACACACGCAAAAGCTAGTTCAAATATGCTCGTGGCTGGCCGCTGGCCAACGATGCTGCACGAGCTGAAGAACAAAGGGAATTCCCACCACTCAATACAAGAAAGAATGCACATCACAAAAAAACTGTACCCGTTGTTGAGGGTCAGTTCGCATCACACTTTCTTCGCACCTCGGCCTCTTCCACGCATGAAGGACACGAAGGCCTCGGCAGAAGCATCGCCGCGAGAATCCGCCAGCGCGATTGACGCCCTTCGGCGCAATTGAATATTTGCCCCTAGCGCCTCTAACAACTTGCCCCTGCGCTGTTCAGCGCAATGCATGGCCAACACCCGAATCAATAGAGCGCGTCGGTTCGTCTCGTTAGCCTTGGAGGCCTGGCCCATGGACACATCTGGAAAATCGGATGGCTGCAAGCACCCCGCCTCCCGCGCTAACGCCAACCGCGCGTCGGCCGACTGGGCCAATTCCTCTACCTTGGTCGCTAACACCGAAGGGGGGGCCACTCGTAGCTGCAACACCACGCGTCAATGGTCGAGCCAAACTGGAAGGCAAAGAGTTGAAGTCTTTCCGCACCTCGCGCGGAGCGCGCTTCTTCGCCGGGGCCAGGACGCGATCCAATGGTCTCCACTTCCCCATCCACGAAGAGGCGTGGTGCACCACAACGCAAGGGCATTCGACATCCAAACTGCACACCCATAACGGCCCTGCGCCCCTGCTTTTCTCTCGGTGGCATCGTTTGGTCAAGGGCAGCGCCTTGACGCCAACGTCTTTGGCCCACTGCCCCCAAGCCTTCGGCCCTGTGGTGAACATGACCCGATGGGACGGAAAGTTGCTTGGTTTGTAGGTTTGAACCCGCGCGCATTGCAGCCTCAACAACTCGAGCAAGCGCGGGTCGCCCGCAGAAGCCCCGAGAAAGTCTGCTTCAACAGGGGCCGCAGGAGGGCCCTCTGCAACGAGCAAGCCAGCACTGAGGAGTTCGTCCAACGGTTTCTCGAACACCGAATCGAGCACATCAAAGTAAACGCCGCCAACGTACCACACCGCCACCACTCGGGCCATATCCGCCTGCTGCATCCAAAATACTTTGCCCGACGGCTTGCACTGCAGCAAAGGAACCACCATCTCGCGGACATCGTCAGGCAACGCGCGGGCCATGTCAAGGACGTTGTGGGGCCTGTAAATGGCACCGCCCCAACCGGAGCACTTCCGCAACCAGGCCGTAGAATCCGAGACCACCTGGTCCGGCATCTCTGCATCCAAATAACCCCAAACAGCAATGAAGAATGAAGGAATCGGCATCCCGACTTTCAGTGTTGGGCCCCGCGGGCGTGCGGCTAGGCACTTGCAGCGCTGGGGCCCGCAAGTCGCCGGTGCCCCAATAGCTACGGGAGAGAAGACGGGAGGGAGGATAATAACCAACATGGCATGGAGTTGGTCCATCGCCCCCGTTGGAGGAGTCGCTCTCCGTCGGGCCCCGGGAACTTCCAAGTTCGCGATGGACCGAAACTTCGACGAGCTTTCGGTGATAACGCCTTTCAGAACACCCCCGTTATGGCGAAGGAAAAAAAACCGCGCGTGATTTT